TTCTCTTGTATTTCATTGAGTTTCCTTATAATCCATATTTGGAACTCTATCAGTCATTTCAATATTTTCATTTTCTTTGGTATCTATTGTTAAGGAGTTATTGTTTTCTTTTGGAGGTGTCCTTTCACTCTGATTTTTCATATTTCTGGAGTTCTTTAGTTCTTTCACTGATTCCTTTTCATCTGGTCTCTCAATTGAGACCTGAGGGTACTAGGCCTGGCTTGCAGGCCTGGCTTGGCGTCCCCAAAGATTGATCCCTGGCAAGGAGAGGAGTGCTGGTCCCGAGTTGCCTATGGGATGTTCGAGTAGGTTTGATGATCCTCTCGGGTTGTCTCTGACCTGCTGTCTTCACCTCTTCCCAGCAGTGTGAATTGGGTTTGGTCCCCCAGCTTAATCTCCAAGATGGCAGGTGGTACTTGTGAGTACAAATCAGCCACACCTGTTTGCTTGATTTGGAAGGCACTATGCTGAACTATAGAGTTGTTCCCCTTGTCATTGGTTGATATTTGTGTGGAAGAAGAGGCTTCCGGGATGTTCTTACCATACCGTGGTAAGCTCTGGTCCCCCAGGTGGGGCACACAAGTGCTCAAGCTTTAGGAGGGACTCTGTATCTCCCAGGGGGTTGCTTGATCTATACTCCCACTGAGGTGGGCGGAGGAACAAAGCAGATGGCAGAGCAAATCGTGGCTATATTTCAAGAGCCTACAATACAAGGCTTTGCAGAGCCTCCTTGGGGCTCAGCAGTTGCTTTTCCAGTTGCTAGGGGGAGCCACTGGAATGAGGTTTAATACAAGCTCTCCAAACTTCAGGAAGCCTGTTCCCGAAGGAGGGACCTAAATGCTTGAATGCTAAGGCTCTGGGCAGGGCTCTTTCTTCCCTTGTCCACTAGCACAGTTTCTCTGCAGGAAGGGCTGAGCACCCTCCCAAATTGCTGCTCCCTGGAACCCTACTGCACACTCCGGTCAGACCAGTCCATGTGAGTTCCCTCACCACCTGAAACCAGCCCCCCAGTCCGTGTGTCTGACTCACTAGCGTGCATCTCCACAAAACAATGGTGGGCAGGGAGTTCCCCAGCTGTGCACTCCTATTCCACCGCAAGTCCCCAAAGGGATAGTAGTGGGCTCCTCTGTCTACAGGGACCTTAGCTAGAGGCATGCTCCCACCAGAGAGAAGCAGCCACTCACAAGTTTCTTGGCTCAAGCTGCACTCCCTATTGTAATGAGTCAGGAGAGGGGTCAGCCAGTGGGTCTGAGGCGTTTGGTTGTCATGGAACCAGAAGCTATGCTGTTTTTCTCCAATTGCCACACTCCCATCCACTATGGCAGCTCGCCTGCACCGGGATGGGGTGGATGCTCACGGATCCCTGTTCCTCAATACCCCATCACACTCTCCTGTAGGATATGTCCAAGGGCTCCCTCACCACTCAAGTGCATGTCTGAAACCTCTTCTCTGCATCTCTCTTCACCACTCCTGTGTCCAGGGCCACTGGTGCCAATCACACAAAATGTAAATGGGCAGGTAACTCTCAAATTGTGATGGGCTCACTCTCTCTGAGGTCAGCCTGGAGTGGGCAGCTGCCATAGAGAAGCAGCTGCTCCTGAGTTTCTCCATTCAAGTTACTCTTGTGGTTTCAATGAGTGGGGGAGAGGCTGTGGCTCCCAGTTGGCCTGAGGTCTGACTACTTGCTTGGATGCCAGGAGCAAAAGAGGAACTGTCTAGGTGTAAAAAAGCCGGCACTCCACTCTCTTGTGGCACTCTCCCATATGTGCCCCTTATGGGTGCCCAAACTCTTGGGGCTTACTGGTTCACCCCACTGTTCCTAATTAGCCTCCATACCTGGGCTCATGGAGGCTGGAAAAGCCTTCAATATACTTTGTGTCCTGCTACTCACCAAAGGCACATAGGTGGGGCAGGGGAAACCCCCTTCACCCTTTCTCTGGGCTCCAAGCCTCTCTGGGTTTGATCCTCAGGGCTATCTTGTTCTTTCCACCCTCCTCTTTCTCAGCTTTGCAGCTTTCCTCCATGGGGTTCCCAGTCATGTTTGTCAATTTTCTCTGTGATCCACACCTGTGCTCCTCAGTCCAGTAGCCCATCTTCCAGCTGAGACAGTCTGACAAGCAATGTCTCTAGTCAGCCATCTTGGCTTCTCCTATCCTAATATATTTTGAAAAATATTTTTATGCTTATGAGTATTTTCAAGTTATACGCTGTATCATATATCTCTAGAACAAAAACGTATAAATTAAAATTACATTAAAAATTTTTCTGGCCGGGCATGGTGGCTCACGCCTGTAATCCTAGCACTCTGGGAGGCCGAGGCGGGCGGATTGTTCTGAGCTCAGGAGTTCGAGACCAGCCTGAGCAAGAGCGAGACCCTGTCTCTACCAAAAAATGGAAAGAAATTAATTGGACAGCTAAAAATATAGGTAGAAAAAATTAGCCGGGCATGGTGGCGTGTGCCTGTGGTCCCAGCTACTCGGGAGGCTGAGACAGTAGGATTGCTTGAGCCCAGGAGTTTGAGGTTGCTGTGAGCTAGGCTGATGCCACAGCACTCACCCCAGGCAAGAGAGTGAGACTCTGTCTAAAAAAAAAAAAAAAAATTTTCTGTTGTCATAAAAAGATTTTCTTCTGTATTTAATGTACATTACATAATTATTAGTGTTTGATTGAAGGAACACATATTACAAATTTTGATAATTAAATATAAAAGCAAATGTTTTACTAGAACATGTATCTTTAATTAGTTGTATTTTTTTCAGTTACTGCACTTATCTCTGTATTGCTAGAATGAGGCGAGATTTCAGCATCAATTTGATTTCTATATTTTGTTTCTATTGATGTGAATGCTTATTCACAAAAGTAGACAAGTATAAAAGGAGTTTATTATAGAAATATCACCCAATTCTTTCATCTCCTTTGAATTATTTATCAAAACATAACCATGGTATCTATCATCAAAAAATAGTTATTAGCTGTTAATTTGATTATATCCTCCTGCAAACTTGATGAAAGTAAGCAATTGAAAATCACCTGATACAGTTTAATTAAAACCAATCATTAAAAGTCATTCTCTTACACAGACACTAGAAACAATGTTTCTAGTTGTCTCTTTTCTTAGCACCCATATTTTTATACTCCAAGGCAATACACTATTGTAAAATTATGGATGGGTGAAAGATAAGCTTTTCTTTTGTAAGATCAGAAAATACGATTTCAAAAGTGGAAGTTTTACTTTTTTTAGGAAAGAGTATAGAAGTAAGTTGAGGATCTCAAAATTGATTCTCTTAAAGCCTGTCTTACACCCATCTTAACATGACACAGAGGTATGTATAAGACAATTACTAAAAGGAAATAATGTTTTTAAAGCTATCATTACTTTTAAATCATAGTAGTATTAACACAGCATCAACTTTTGAAAGAAATAAGGGATATTAATTTTCTTGAATTACACATTTATACTACTTAGCTCTGTATGTAAATCTGTTGTTTATTTTTTGACACGATATAGGTCTGATTCAACACACTTGAAACTTCACCTTCAAATTCCTAGAAGGCCATTCAGAGAGGTTGACTCCAGTATGTTAATGTCAAACTAGAATATTAAATATTGATGATCTTGGAAGGTTATTCGATGTTTTAATTTAGAGCTCTGTATACTCATATACTTCTTCTCTTTCTTTGCTTATGTTGGTTCCTCCACCTGAATTACTAACTCCTCCTCCCTGTCCCCCATATGTGAACATATATGTTTTCATTATAGCTGTTTTTATATTGTACTTATAAAAGCCAATTCATTCTGCTATCTAAACATGTCTCAAATCTAAGCTCACCTGTTTATCCAGTGCCCTAATGCAGACCAAAATCATTTTTCAATTGGTAATGATCTTCTGACTGCTCTCCCGGCTCCATTCTTTTCCCACTTCAATATCTCTACCGTAGAGTTACTATAATGACCTGTCTAAAATATGGATCAATTCCATATTCTCTGACTCAGAAATCTTCAGTTGCTCTTACTTACAAATCTCCCATATTTCTATGCTGCCAAGAGGACAGATATGAATATTTACTTCCATTAATTATCTTATACTTATCTATTCTCAACCACATTTCCAGACTTTTTCTCCAGCAATTGTCCTCATCTGTTTTATACTCAAGTCACATTTCCTTGAACACATATCATGGTGCCTGTGTTAGAATGTCACAATGGAGACATCACTTTATTTTTTAAGTAATATTCAACCTTCTGGCTACTTGTGAAGAAAAGTTAAAATGTATTCATATTAAGCGGGTCAACCATTTCATAAAAAAATACTTATTGAAATGTGTTTTTAGTCACATTGTTAGCTATACTACATAGGAAAAAAATGACAAATAAAATCTTTGAAAAATGAAGGGAGACTATGACAAAGAAAAACCATTATCCTTAAGTATGTCAAGTTTTTTCAAAAGGTGTTTTGAAAACGCACATACATACAAATAATGTGTATTTAATTCTCCTTTATCAATATTAATAAGAAAAAGGACTTCTGTGTTTGGCCTATAACCTAGAACTCAATGGATCATAGCTTTCTATTTATAGTTCCCTTTTGGATTGAGCATTGTGAGGTAGGATGAACACTGGCATGTTAAAAGGCAGTTTCTACTAACAATATGAACTCTGATCTTTAATAGGTCCTTAATCTTTGCTAAATCTGTTTTCTCATCTGTAAAGTGAGGATTAATATATATTCCCCTTTCTGCTCAAGAAGAGATTAAATAATGTGAGATAACATGAGAATATATGATAAATTTAAAGGTATTTAGATATATATCATTAAATTATTCCTTAGTCTCTTTAACTTTAATCATATGTTTCTTTAGAGGATCTGGTGTATCTTGATGGAAGGCATATGTTGATAAGCCTAATAAATGGCCAAAATGAGGAAATAAAGGATGTGTTGGAGTTTGTTTATTTTTTTTTTCTTATTTCTTTCTTTTATGTTTCTTCTGTGTTAAAACAGTTTTGGTATGAACCATGATGGAATTGGAAATTCTTGTGGGACAAAAGGTCACGAAGCAGCAAAACTTATGGCAGCTCACATTACTGCAAATACCAATCCTTTTTCCTGGTCTGCTTGCAGTCGAGACTACATCACCAGCTTTCTAGAGTAAGTAATCTCTGGAGAGTGATGATAAATTGCTCCAGAAAGTAAGCCATTGGTAGAAGCCTAATATGTAGTGCTTCAAACTTTGCATAATGAATAACTTTTTTAAGTCCCAGTGATATTTCAACTGTTCCCCAAATACTTTAATATATCATTGTAACATTTTTTTTCTTCAAATAGAACTTATTGAATAGATTAGAGGAAATGGAGCAAGGATGTAAGTGGGGTTGATGATGTGAGTGTTACAATTGTTCAATAAATGGGAAACAATTTCAGAAAGAATTTAGGTTTATGTAATTTAATAGCACATAGGCCAAGCTTTAATTCAGTGATTATATATTTCATTTTGTTGGTGAAGAAACTGAGTTCTGTAGGAGAGCCAAAGTATCTAATAGTAACAAACAACAACAACAAAAAACCAAACATCCAGGAATTGAGAACTTAGAGAAAAGGTTTTGTCTTTGAAAATTTATTAAGCAATCCATCTTTTCTACAGGTTGGGAACTTATGCTCTGGTCCTTTAATGGATATTCACAGAGTCTGGTTTTTAAATGTGAAGAATATAAATTAGCTCAGGTATAACCATGTTTTGGAAAGCAGATGTTCTTCCACATCTGACCTGCATAGGGCTTCAGGACTGGACTTTGGAAACTGATAGACGTGGGTCTCACTTTCTAACTGTGTGACTTAGGCCATGTTACTTACTTAACATTTCTAATCTTTAGTATCCTTATTTGTTAAATGAGTTTAAGTCATAATACTTACATGATCAGGCATTATATATATAATAGTCTATCATGCTATCATATATAAACACTTAATAGACATTCATTAAATGGTAAATATCATTATTTTAAACAATATCAAGGTTTCAGTGCTTTATTGCTCTACCATTATCTTCAACTGTTTTGTGTAATTTTTTTCTTGGGGAGGAGAGATTAAACGCTTTGTGAAAAAGTGAAGCATACATAAAATACAGGCAAACAATGGAAATTCTTTTTAAAATTTGGCTTTGTTCCAAGTTTATATTAATGTGATTACATTGTAAAATTTTAAAAATTCAGATAGGTTATGTAGGGTAACATTATTCATTAAAATTACCCTTCTTATCTTGTAGTAGCCTGATCTTATTTTGAAAACTTACAATTACATATTTTTAAAAGACCACAAACAAGAAATTTTAAATTACCTAGCACAGTGCTTTACTCTAAAATCAAAAGATAAATCTTCAAAATAGGCTCTTTTAAATTAATTAATGTAATTATAAAGTTGAAGGAATTGGAAATTTATTTCAGAAGGCAGTTCTTCTTTTATAACCTAACAGTTTTTAATCTTAGTAATAGATAATTATAACATTATACTTACCTAGTATGAAAACTGAGTGAAGTGCTATAAAGATAGACCACGGAGAATTTGTATGACATCTTTTAGTAGTTCTAAATACAAAGCACTAGCAATATCATTTTCCAAGATGGTTTTTTTTTGAGACAGAGTCTCACTCTGTTACTGGGATAGTGTGCCGTCGCGTCAGCCTAGCTCACAGTAACCTCAAACTCCTGGGCTTAAGCGATCCTTCTGCCTCAGTCTCCCAAGTAGCTGGGACTACAGGCATGCGCCACCATGCCCGGCTAATTTTTTCTATATATTTTTCGTTGTCCAGCTAATTTCTTTCTATTTTTAGTAGAGATGGGGTCTCACTCTTGCTCAGGCTGGTCTCAAACTCCTGAGCTCAAACGGTCTGCCCGCCTCGGCCTCCCAGAGTGCTAGGATGACAGGTGTGAGCCACCGCAGCCAGCCCCCAAGATGGTTTTAATGACATCATTTAACTAAATTTCAAACGTTGTTGAAGATCTGCTCTCCCCAGAAATCAAGTCAGATCTGGAATTTCTCCCTGGACTTGGCTTATGTTTCCATAACCGAGTCTGAATGTCTATCACCAGAAAGACAAACTGTATAACATACTCAGGATTCCTGTACATTTTTGATGGCTGCCATTTTCTTGGTTTTTTTTTAAATTACCGTTTTCTTTTCTCCTCTATCCTGTTTCTGTCCCATTGCCTATTGCACAGCTCATTTGCTAGTACTATCCCTGTATACTAAATACAAGGATCAGTTTCGATCTCCTGCCAGATCCTGCCTGGTTGAAACCATATTAAGGCTGTTAAGACACTCCAAAAGGAAATCCCTCAATTGCTGGTAAAATGCAGTTAAGAAATCACCACTAGTTTGGTGAGGGATGAAAAATTATTACTAGTTGCAATAAAGTATTTCATTGAATCAATTTAAAGAATTAATTTAAAGAATTAATGCTTCAAAAAGCATTATTTAAGCTTTATTGCCTCTTTGCATTTCGTATATGTTAGCACGATTAGTGTTGACAGGGTTATAATGAGCTTATTTATCCTGTATTTTATAAAAATATTTCTCTCGTGTATCCTCATGGGAATGTTCACAAAGTTAAACCATTAATAAGAGATAGATGTGAAAGACAATGGGTAGGAAAAGTTGGCTTTTTTCCCCTTCTTTAGTAATAAACTAAACAAATCTGATTATAATCTGACCAAGCAATAAAGGATTTTTTTTTTTTTTTTTTGAGACAGAGTCTCACTCTGTTGCCCTGGCTAGAGTGAGTGCCGTGGCGTCAGCCTAGCTCACAGCAACCTCAAACTCCTAGGCTCAAGCAATCCTACTGCCTCAGCCTCCCGAGTAGCTGGGACTACAGGCACGCGCCACCATGCCCGGCTAATTTTTTCTGTATATTTCTAGTTGTGCAATTAATTTCTTTCTAATTTTTAGTAGAGACGGGGTCTCGCTCTTGCTCAGGCTGGTCTCAAACTCCTGAGCTCAAACAATCTGCCCGCCTCGGCCTCCCAGAGTGCTAGGATTACAGGCGTGAGCCACCGCGCCCGGCCAATAAAGGATTTTTAAACAGAGGTCCTTTAAAGTGGTCACTTCACTGGAGCACAAAGACATAATAGTAACTTTGTTGAATTTTCTTTGTCCTTTTTATTAATGCAGTGAACTTAATTGTTTTAACAGCTATGCGTGATATTTTTAAAAATCCAGTGATATTTTGATCAGGGATTGAGGTTACATTTATGTTTTATAGTTGGCTCAAAAGACTCATAACATTTTATTTTAGCTTCTCTTCTCAAGAAAAAGAAATCTTGAAAGATGAATTGTTTAGGAACTGCAGCCCAGCCAACAAAACGCATACCTTTCTCTACTTAGTGACTGTATAGGCCAAAGATGATGGTAGATTTTAACAATGAGCTTTCTATGATTTATAGAGATTCACTATGTGAAATTTCACTATGTGAAATGAAAATTTCACTATGTGAAAACAATTCCATGGCCTTTAAATACCAATAGAATACAGAGTCTCTCGTGTCATTCTGAAACACTAGATGCTATTGATAAATCAGGAGATGGTGTTTACCAACTCCCAATATTTTTTTTCAGATTTCTTAAACTCGGTGATTCAATAAGTGGTTCATGAATCGCCAGAAGCCGTCCAGATTAAATAATAAAGAACCCATTTCCGTTAAAATGGACGTGTTATGCCAGCTTCTGATGTTTTCCGACGACGGCTTTGCAGGTAGTGTCTTTCCTATCTGCCTGCGGGACTTTATTTATTTATTTAGAAAATAGAGAAAGATGAACCTGGTATTATGGCTCATACTGACTGATGACTATGGGCTAATTTACCAGGCAGTGGAAGGCAGCCAGAAGTAATTTAAGCCAGTTTTTCATACATTTTCCACCACTTAGCAATAGTACAGAGTAATTTCATATAGTTTTCAAAAATTACGGGGCTCTGTGAATCAACTCTTGCTCTATGAAAATTAAAGTCTGTTAAATTGTTTGAACTGTCAAAGATTCATATCAAAATTTCTTACAGTTCCAAATTAAATACATAGTAGCCATTTTCACAGAGAGGATGGAAGCTGAACCCATTAAGAGAGGCAATGTTACTGTCAAAGGTGAATTAGGAAGAAAGCTGAGAGTAGAGCTACAAGAGAAGTGATATAAGATGAACAAGATGACCAAGGCACTTTCATTTCCTCTCTAGCAATTACCTTTAAAGATCAACATCAGTCTATTAGATGGAAAACTTTCTTTATAGGTGGGACCTTTTTTTAAAATGTAGAATCCAAGAAAGAGCTTGGCAAAACAGGTTTCTCCTCCTGTTTATCTGACACATTTTGGGAACTTTGCTCTAACCATAAATATCTTTGAGACAAAGTCATAACTATATTTGGGGAAAAAAAGAATAAACCACTGTCAGTACAATATTTGTATCCTCAAAGCTTCAAGTTCAATTATATTCAAGCACCCTAGTCATACAGAGAGTGAGAGAAAAAGATTTGACTTTAGAAGGCAATAAATTGTTAGTTTCATGAAGATTGATGAAACAGTTTATGAGAACATAGTAGATAAGACACTTAACTTGCTATAGATGATATCAACTTAATTCATTTTTGCTTAATTTATGTGTATCAGCACAACTTTGTGGAAAAAAATGGGAGGTGGCATTAAATGTTAACTTTTTGTTGTTGTTGTTAAGAGACTAAGATATGTACAGGGTTATTTAGAAAGATTCATTTTTTACATTGACTCCCTCTGTTATAGACTAAAAGTCCATACTTTACAGTATAATTGTTTTAGTGAAAATAAATCTAAAATCACAATTAGGAGTATGTCCTCATGCATTCTGGAAACAAAGCCAGGAGTGCAGTTTTACACAGGGATCTGTAAATTTTAGTTGAAGACTGAACTCTGGCTCATATTCCTATATTCAAGGCTAATTTTTGGACTATGTAAATAAGACCTCTCTAAATTAAAAGTAGAATACAAAAAATATGACTTTCTTATCATGCTGCAAAGATTTCTGGAAATATAAATATACTTTGATTTACTATGAATTTCATAATCAAGGAAGAGGCATATTCTTAAACCAATACATATTTTTTTGCTTTGTCTTAGAAACATAACAAAAGTAGAGTCTGTAAATTCAATAATTATCTATAGTGCTGTAGATATAGGGTTGGGTTTTTATTTTTTCTGCCAGTCATGGTCATGTGGCCTGACAGCTGCGTGCACTATGACAGCAGGTGGCTAGAGTTGGGTTTTTTGTTGTGAAATATATGCTGCTAGGAAATAATCATAGATCTACTATATACAGTTTTGGTCTGGACAAGTATACCTATGCTTAACAATAGTAAGTTATAATAACTTCTCATAAATGGAGACTAACAGTATTCTACATTTAATTTATTAATGAATGATGTTTATGTTTTCTGAGTGGAAAAATTTGCATATGACACCAAGGCACAAATCATCTGTGTTTTAAAAGTGTTATTTAATGAGAAAATTCAAGAAGATTTGTATTTAATATCACTACAGTACTATTAGTATTTCGGTAGTAACATAATTAACACTAGGTTCAGCATTGTAAGAATTGTATAGTTATATCTCATTTAGCTAGGACCCTAGATTAAATAAAAATCTCCCATAATTTCTATTTTTTAAAATGAGATAATTATAAAGTATAAAACAATAACTCATACCTAGTATTTTATGAAAGGAAAAACATTTACACATATGTGAATGTACAAAAAAACATCCATATCAGGGTAATTTACAGTTGTCAGAAATTGGAAATAATCCAAATGTTCATTAATAGAAGAACAGATAAATATAATTGTTGCATAGTACTAAATAGAATATTAAAGAACAATAAAAATGAACAGGATATAGTTACAACAACATAAAAGTATCTCATATTCACAATATTGAACTAAAGAATAAAGTTACAAAAGAAAACCTACAGTATGACTCCTTATATATAAAGTCCAAAAACAGGCAAATAAATAATTGGGAAGTAAAATTATTAAGAAAAGCAAGGAAATTATTATCATAAAAAATCAGAATCGTAGTTACCTCGGAGGGGTGGGAATGAGAGGTGTGATTGGAATTGAGCACTTGGGAATTTTCATAGGAAAAAAAATAAGGAAAATCACTTCCAGGGTTAAATATGCATCTCTCAAATCCATGTCCTCTACCTTCTGTACCTGTATCTATGTTTCGTAATGGTAATTGATGACCAGAGGCATGAAAATATCCAGACTTATTAGTTTCTAAGAATTAATTAATGTTTATGATCTATAGACTTAACTACTTGAAAATAGTAGCAAAATAGCAAATTTTAGTAACATGCAAAAAAGCATTTTTGTGGCTTACCCCTCAGTTAACAATTAAAATATGAAAATTTTCCCATCCCTCAAATATTTTAATTGAGGTTTTACTATATATACCAGATATGGTTACTAAGAGATTTTGCACTGCATGTGTAGAAATGTAGAAACAATTTAAACCAGCCTTGCAGATATCCCCACACTTGCTTTATGAGAAGACGTTTGACTTATAAGCCTTGCTAATTTCTACAAATATAGCCAAACCCATTTCAAAAGGCCTTCATTGATTCGATGTTCCTAAATACAGGTTCATTTTTTAAAGATCCATATGGTTTTCCCTTATATTTTATTTCATGTAGTGTTTTATTCTTCTGTAAAAATACACTAGAAATGGGGAGCAAGACTTGCCTAGACCACATTAATACAAAGCAATAGGTGCTTCCAAAGAACTGAAACAAAAATACACTTTTGGAATAAACTTTCTCAGAAGAGTTTTGGCCACAGGTGCCAACAGTACATGATATTCTTGGTGTCTGAAGGCCCTTGCAATGGTCATCTGATTTGGTTTTTTTTAAACAACATGAACTATGATTAGAAGACCATTAATACCTTGAAACAAGAACTTTAAATAAAATAATTATTCTTGCTTCCTTCTGAGGTAAGCCAATTTTCAGTATGCCATGAGGAAAAACTTTTTTCCTAAGGGTATCTATTTTTAAACCCTTTTTTGGGGTCCAGATAGTTCTTCCTCTAAATGTTTAGGTTAATTTTCTGTATTTCTAAAAGTAATTATATATATAATCATTTTTAATACATGCTAAGTTGGTGCCACATAGGCAAATATATCCTATACTTTTTTGTGATGCCATTTGGTAAATATTTGTTACCT